CGCGAACTGGAGCGGCGAATTACGATTCTCTTGCCGCCTACCGATGCATGCCGCAATGATTAGCGCCTATTCGTCTAGGCTTAATATTAGAATCCGATTAGCTGAGACCTTTGCTTCACTTTACTCTTCTTGGGTTGGGCTTATAAGTCTTATTTTTACTTCACTCACTGATAAACCCAGTGGATGTACCGTGCACTGCCTCTTTCAGCTCCATCCAGATGGCAAGTCGATTCTGGTCGCAAAATGCAGTAATGCAAGGATTGACAGGTACATAAGCATGACAAGCTGACATTACAGTCATTCTTCCTGCAAACGAAAGGGCGTATGAGGAGACGTGGATTGGGGCGCAGCGATGTAGATTCCAGCCGGATCGCGACTGTGTGCCCATCCCCGCACCCCTTACTACTCAGTCGTTTTTTTTTTCATGAGAACCGGGGGTAAGCAGGTGGCTGAGGTTGCACATTGAGGTTAGAAAGTAATCCGCTATGAGCTGCCTTGAAGGGGGGGTGTCCTATTGAAGCGGGATTCCCTCATCGTCATCTGGTCCCCCACCTACGGTGGCGTGGTAGGGGAGAATTCTTTCAGGTGTGGCCCAGATCGGATTTCATGACAGAAGTGGGCTGGACGTCAAAATAGATAAATATATTACTAAATTTACATAGCCACGATGTGCTGGAAATCTCTCCGGAGCCTATTGGTCCTCAGAACCAGGCCGTCTAACCTATCAGGGAAATGCGCATCGCACTCGAGAATAAGTCCACTCCCGTTTTCAACCTATTTAGAAATTGTTTTTTTAAATTCAGGTTGGATTTGAGTACAAACAAGGTGACGCCGTTCGCTGATAATTTGCCAGGCCTTACCGGATAACATCAGACTAGGAGCGAACAATACCCTGTGGGTTGGGCTCGCAGGTGAGCTGGAAATGTGATCGAGATTGCTTTTTGCTTCCATTTGGTAAATGTGTCCAATAGTAAAATTGCAAAGCTCGATAAGTTTGCGCTTCCAATTAAGTGTCAACTAAACGGATGGCGCAAAGGGATTGGCGCAATTGCAGGCAGGCAGGCAATACTTCTGAACAGAGTTTCTCTCCATCTCTGATTTTCTCAGCTCCTTAGGCCTGCGTTTATACTTTGCGGCAGCGTAGCGTAGCGCTTCCAGCGTACGCCAGCGGCAGTGCCGGGAGAGGATGCATATCGATCTAGCGTTCCCAGCGTCACCAGCGTCACGCTAGCGGCACGCTAGCGTACGCCAGCGTTTCTCCAGCGTTTTGCTAGCGTTTGCAGCGGCAGGGGAGTAGAGACTATGGGAGAGCTGGAGGGTACAAAACACATCGATTGCGCGATTCATCCTCACTCGCCCTTAGTCTCTACAATACACATCGCTTCTGCGTCTCCGACGGCCACATAGTCTCTACTATACACATCGATTCCGCGTCTCTGACGGCCACATAGTCTCTACAATACACATCGATTCCGCGTCTCTGCCGGCCACATAGTCTCTACAATACACGTCGATTCCGCGTCTCTCACGGCCACATAGTCTCTACTCCCTGCCGCTGCAAGCGCTAGCAAAACGCTGGTGCCGCTGGAGAAACGCTCGAGAAACGCTGGTGAAGCTAGATCGATAGCTATGCTTCCCGTGCCCTCGCTACGCCAGCGTGCGCTAGCGCACGCTGGCGTGCCGCTAGCGTACGCTGGTGACGCTGGTGAAGCTAGATCGATATCTATCCTTTCCCCGGCACTGCCGCTGGCGTACGCTGGAAGCGCCTACGCTACG